ACCATGAAATCCCCATTAAATCACCATGAAATCCCCATTAAATCACCATGAAATCCCCATTAAATCACCATGAAATCCCATTAAATCACCATGAAATCCCATTAAATCACCATGAAATCCCATTAAATCACCATGAAATCCCATTAAATCACCATGAAATCCCATTAAATCACCATGAAATCCCATTAAATCACCATGAAATCCCATATGTAAGACTTTTATTTTATTTTCACATGATCCCACTGGATCCACCTCTCGTGATCGTGGAAGTCCACCCGAATTTACGGCATAAAATCACCGGGAAAAAAACCGATGTTTGGGGGTAAAAAACCCATGGGTTCTGGTTACCCAACCTGGTTATGTCAACATAGCTATTGAAAATGGCCATAGAAATAGTGGATTTTCCTATGACAAATGGTGATTTTCCATAGCTATGTTAGTTTACCAGAGGGTAAGATTGTCCCTTTCCATTCATTGACTATTGGACATGACCTCAAGCTCAGCTGTGATCCCTTCCTTAGCCAGAAACCCTGGTGTAGTCTGGAATTTTCTTGATTTGTTTGGCCAATGTGGGGGATTTTGATAAACTCTGTTAAACTCCTTTATAATTTCAATAATGACAATACTGTGACACCTATTATGGTTTTGTTAATGATAATTAGATATAATTAGATATTCTGGATAAATTCAAAAGACCTCACTGCGACGTCAATGGAATGATGGTTAGGATCGGCGTAACTATCCCTATGATGGCTTCATTCATCTTATTAAGGGGTTAGCGAATTGTAACTCATAAGCCATTCTGATTCTTGCTATTCTAATTTTGTATAGCTGGTACTCAGGGTGAATAAACGATAAGAGTACATTAGAATGACAATCATGTCAGGTTGAGTCATTTACAATATCAAATTATGTTCTTTATTTTTTGATCTAATACCAATAACAGCAATTACTTGGCATTTTTCATTCACTATTATAAGCATCATGTTTATTATTAGACACCAACAAAACATCAGAATATCAAGATTAGGTTTGAATATTATTCTACAGCTAGTCTTTTTGAGTATGGTTCCTGCTGGTATAACAAGCCTTTGGTGGATGATAGTACTGTTCGAACTGTGAATCCCTAGGTTATTTTTGGTATTTTTGTTTATTTTTGAGTAGTTTTAGTTATTTCCCCACCTGCCAGGTGAGGGTTGTTAGATTTTATGTCAGTTGCCTCCTCCTCCTCCTTCTCCTCCTTCTCCTCCTCCTCCTCCTCCGCCTCCTCCTGCCTCGTCCTCCTCTTCTCCTCCTCCTCGTCCTCCTCGTCGTCCTCGTCGTCCTCGTCGTCCTCGTCGTCCTTGCTCAACTGCGACCCGCGATCCACAGTGTTCTCTGCCGGACCTCAACCAAGACCATCCACGCCCAGTGTTCCCTGCCGGACCTCAACCACGACCATCCTCGCCCAATGTTCCCTGCCGGACCTCAACCACGACCATCCTCGCCCAGTGTTCCCTGCCGGACCTCAACCGCGAGTATCCACGCCAAGTGTTCCCTGCCGGACCTCATGTAGGAAGATATGGGACAAAGAATGTGCAGAAGAAAGTTAGAAAGAATGTCAGAAAGAATGTCAGAAGATATGCCAGAAGATATGCCAGATAGAATGCCAAATAGAATGCCAGATAGAATGCCAGAAGATATGTCAGAATATATGCCAGATATGCCAGATAGAATGCCAGATAATATGCCAGAAGATATGCCAGATAGAATGCCAGAAGATTTGCCAGATAGAATGCCAGAAAATATGCCAGAAGATATGCCAGAAAGATATGTCAGAAGATATGCCAGAAGATATGCCAGAAGATATGCCAGAAGATATGTCAGAATATATGCCAGAAGATATGTCAGATAGAATGCCAGAAGATATGTC